TCAAATTTCATCTACGTTTTAGATGTTGGCTTATGTAGTTTAATAAGGTTATACAAATCAGTTTTTGAAATATTTGTGTCAGAATAAATATTTTTTGATCTTAACTATTTTATCATATCGTATTTCCTACTGTTAGAAGTCGGTGCTTTATTTTTCTGAACATTGTGATAAGGCGCATTGTAAATAACCACGACTCAATTTGGAGGTAGGTTAGGAACTCTTTTTTCCTCCAACTATTTTTATAATTGGTAAAATTCATTTCGTGATGATAGTCTCCGGTATTTGAATTTGATTTAAAAATCAGTTGAGCATTTGGAATGGGAAGCCCTTCTCGCTGCCAGCATGAACAATAATTAATCGTTGTCCTTTTCAAATGGGCCTAGCTAGACCTTCATTGGAATTGTCGTCCCAACAAGTAGCAACGGTATGCGAAGCATGAATGTATGTTTCATTCATATATTCAATCGTTTTGTTCAAGTGTCTGTACGATTTCATGACATGTGAAAAAGCTATTTCTAATTGACGAATATCATGTCCCTCCATTATTATTTTTTTCTATTTGTTTCCGTTCTTCAGCGGAATCCCATCGATTTTACTACTTCAGGAGGAGAATCTCCTTCTTCGTGTATCCAGTTTCTTTAAATTTTCTTAAAATATTCGACATTGTAGGCACAATTTTGTCAGTGGTATAACTATTTAAAATAATTCTACGTAACAAACTTTTATCTGCGTTACCTAATTCGGTTTTAGCCTTTTTGCTATTTTTCGTTCTATATTTCCTTTTTCTGTAACAATTCTTCTAATGGAAGGTTAACTACCCCCGATGTCTTTTCTTTCTCCATGTATTTAAATATATCAGAAACAACTTTACTAGTATGACTATTCAAAATATGTTTATGCAATTTACTTTTAAACTTCTTCACTAACTGGATACGGTTCTGAATTTGGATGTTTACGGCTTGAGTAATCTAACAGACTGATAACGAATTTCTACACATCTACTGCACATCTTGAGGGATGGCAGCTGTTAGTATCAGTTTACTCAATAACACTTACTTGCCCGTGCAGTTATAGAATTGTTTAGGAAAATACTCAGTATATATTCCATACATGACATTTGTCTTCGGGTCTTTCATGATTTCGGGGTCAAAGATTCTGTCATTGACATCGCTCTGATATGGCAAAGCATTGAGTCAAGCTTGCCCATCACACTGGACACAAACTGAAGAACATGTCACCCCGATTTTCTGCATACAAATCGCGACCCACAACCGTTCTTGCAGTTGCAGAATATTGTGTTGAGCATCTCCTTTGGAGCAGGAGCTGAATTTGTTGTTATAGGTTCCGGGAAATATAATGTAACAGATGATAGGAAATGAGCATTATCATCAGTTATGTATTTATCAATTATTAATAAATTATTTTTATCGTCTTTTTGACCGAGAATACCTGTTGACCTTAAATGAGGCTCTAACCGCGAGCTCTCCGCCCTCTATTTCGAAAATGTTTCGACGTATAAAAAATGTTGACACAAGAGTTGTTGGGAATTCAATCTTCTACAATATTCATGGTGAATATCAAAAGAAAAAAACCCACAGAAAACGAGATAGTTGCAAAAAAATGTGAGAAAAATCGGGGTCAACTTTTCAGTTTGTCCTGTATTATACTTCAGCTAATTCTCAATTGATTCAGCTTCATTCATTTTTCAGATTGTGTAAGGTTATATAACAAAAAAAAAACAAAAAATTGTGAAAAATATCAGGTAATTCTTACACAATAAGTGAGAAGATAAATTGAAATTAATTTTCTGATCCACTATCAGTGGATTCATTTGAATAAATGTCATTTTCTGAAAGGCGATGATTTATATGAAAAGTACACCGTAATAGGAAGAAAATGAAAATATAATCATTCCTGACGACTGTCTCGAAGATAAATGCACTAAAAATGACTACAATACGAAAATACAACGTAATGGATACTCCAAAATGATGAATTAGTTAGTGGCAACTTCCTAGTTTTCAGTAAATTTCAAAAACTTTCAATCTAGACTTCAAAATATGAATGGATTCATTGATAATTTGAATTGAACGGATTATATTTTTAAAAGTTACTAATTTTAAGAAATAAAGTTTTTGTCTTTCTACTACTCCATCTTGATACAAATAATTGTAGAATTCTTCCAAAAAAAGAAAGGCAGCAATCAATTTTAAAATAAGTTACTCTCTACATACATGTGTAGATCATGCGTAGAGGTAACTTTCAGGCACATGCTAGAAGAAAATACCCTCCTGAAATAGCTACTTCCATATAAACATTGAATAACACGATAGACAAAGTCTTTCGAAACAAATACTTCTATATGAACCCTGAGTTATACAAAAAACACATTTTTCTACTCAGTTCCTAATCCAAACATTCGTTATGGAATTGAATCAGATATCATTTACAGGATTTCTACACAATGTGCTAAATGAAAAGTAAAAATTTCACTTAAATGGAACACTGTCATTCTCACTTGTAGACATCGATGTTTCGTCGTAAGACTTGCCTTAGGGCTTTCAGTACCAATCTGTACAATATTATAAAAAAAGACACACAATTCATTCATGAATTAGAATTTTTTCGTCACGAAATGGGAAATAGAATAGAATATATAGAGTAACTTCTTTCGAAACTGATTGCCACTTTTTTTGTATCAAAATGCAGTAGCAGAAAGCTAAAAGCTTTCTCTCCCAAAAATTATCGTCAATTATTATTCACAACTTGATTTCAGGCCATGAACCGAGTTACCTATCTACATCAAAGACAAATTTATGATTTATTTGAAATACTTTGTTTTGGATCTACCGAACTTTTATGGGAAATTGGGCTCACTTCAAAGGCACCTGAGAAGCATGCAATACATGAACCGGGCTTTGTTTGTTTTGCAGTTAACCACTTAACGATTAATTTTGCAATAAATTTTGACCGGAGCCGGAAAACAAGTCATAAACATTTTATGGTTCCGCGTTATAGTCCTGTTATATAAAACTGATTCGGTGAAACTGGGCATGTTTTGGATTACCATTGGATCTCACTACTTTGAACATAATTTTTATTTTAGCAGCCATAAAAGTGTTTGAATTGTTCGTCAGTCTATGATTGTTATGTCAGACGTCAACATGGGAATGTTGTTGGGAATGAAAATTGTACTGTCGCTTAATTTCAAATGTCTTCATATTCCTGTGATCATCTGGTTACAAATACATCTCAGTTCCTAGTAATTTATCAATGACATCCGAAGAACTCGCTAGACCTCACAAAGTTAGTACACGGATCAGCTTTAAAAACATATCTTCAAGAGTATTTCCAACCTTTTTTGCTTCACAAAATTGAGTGAAAATCAGTAGTGAGTTGAAGTAAGTTCAACTAATGCAGCATCCATCTGACGAAACGTCAGATCTCCACTAGCTGTAATTTAATCAAATATGCGAACGAATGTCATTATGTACTATCATCGACGACATGAGTAGATTGATTCTATTCGTGACATGAAGTCGTAATTTCATTAATGAATTGAGTGGATCATCTTATTTGGAGCTGAAACGACGACAAGGAAAGTGTCTCACGACAAAACATCAGATGTCCACAGGCTGGGATATAATAAAAAAAGGGAATGAATGTTATTATATACTATCATCGATGACATGAGTAGATTGATCCCATTCATGACATGAAGTCATGCTTTCATGAATGAGTTGAGTGCCTAATCCTATTTGGAGCTGAAAAGACGATGAAGAAAGTGTCTCACGACGAAACGTCAGATCTCCACTAGCTGTAATTTGATCAAATAAGCGAATGCATGTCATTATATACTATCATCGATGACATGAGTAGATTGATTCCATTCGTGACATGAAGTCGTAATTTCATGAATGAATCGAGTGCATTATCTTATTTGGAGATGAAACTACGACAAGGAAAGTGTCTCAGACGGAACATCAGATGTCCACAGGCTAGGATATAACAAAACAAGAGAATGAATGTTATTGTATACTATCATCGATGGCATGGGTAGATTGATCCCATTCGTGACGTGAAGTCATAATTTCATGAATGAATTGAGTGCCTCATCCTATTTGTAGCTGAAAAGACGATAAAAAGTGTCTCATGACGAAACGTCAGATCTCCACTAGCTAGAATTTGATCAAATAAGCGAATGAACGTCATTATGTACTATCATCGACGACATGAGTAGATTGATTCCATTCGTGACATGAAGTCGTAATTTCATGAATGAATTGAGTGCCTCATATTATTTGGACCCGAAAAGACGATAAGAAAAGTGTCTCACGACGAAACATCAGATGTCCACAGGCTGGGATATAATTAAAAAAAATGAATGTCTTTGTATACTATCATCGATGACATGAGTAGATTGATCCCATTCGTGACATGAAGTCATAATTTCATGAATGAATTAAGTGCCTCATCCTATTTGGAGTTGAAAAGGCGATAAAGAAAGTGTCTCACGACGAAACGTCATACCTCCACTAGCTGGGATTTGATCAAATAAGCGAATTAATCTAATTATGTACTATCATCGACGACAAGAGTAGATTGATTCCATTCGTGACATGAAGTCGTAATTTCACGAATCAATTGAGTGCCCCATCTTATTTGGAGCTGAGAAGACTATAAGGAAAGTGTCTCACGACGAGACATCATATGTCCACAGGCTGGGATGTAATAGAAAAAGAGAATGAATGTCATTATTTACTATCATCGATGACATAAGTAGGTTGATCCCATTCGTGACATGAAGTCGTAATGTCGTGAATGAATTTAGTGCCTCATCTTATGATGATATCCAGATTTTGTGCTGAAAAGACGATAAGGAAAGTGTCTCACGACGAAACGTCAGAGCCCCACTGGCTGGGATTTAATCAAACAAGCGAATGAATGTCATCACGTACTGTCATTGATGACATGAGTAGAATAATCTCAATCGCGACATGAAGTCGTGATATTATGAATGAACTGAGTACTTCATTATAAAATTATCCCGATTTGGAGAGAAATGAGAAATTTTCCAACTGAGTTTCGAAACAAACCAGGTATCAAACATTCTAATTCATTATTTATTATCCGAATTCAATATTAAGTTGTTGATGTCACAATCTCTTTTCCTTCAGCATGCCGAGTCAAATTATTAAAAAAATCAATATAATAAACTGTCCATCCTGCACCTACATAAAGTTTTATATTATCTTTTTATTCCTTCCAGTATGTATAAGATGAGAAAAGTAGGTCAACTGAATAGCATGAATGGATTTTACAGCTTTGAAAGTGACGGAATTTGAAGAGATTTTGTGATGGTTTCGGAAAAGGCAATAAAATTGGATAAAACTGAAATACCGGGCCTGAAAGTTATTATTTCGTCAAAATAATTGCCCAAAAGCCACAGACGTATATTTTCATGGGAAGATCATTTCTGTTTATTCTGTCATAAAATTTTCACTGAACAGGATGAATAACCATTCCGTCAAACTTCATTTTACTCTTCTATCGAGATTAATAATTGGCAGTAAACCCTTAGTGACTTTGATGTTTTTTCATGATGAGATATCAACTTGTTTGCTGTTTCAACTAAACTGGCTTTTTCAGTGTTTATTTTTTCGTAGCTAGATAATCAAGCAACATTCATTAACACTATGAGTGATGTTCGTAGTTGAAGTAAAGAGAAGCAAATAGTTTAGGTTTCAGTTTATTGAAATCGAGTCTGTTGAATTATTCTGAACACGTGCTCAGCTACAATGTTTGATATCGTAATTACGTGATTCCAGAGAAAAACATTTTCAGTACTCAACTGGCATAAGAAGAGCCTGCAGATGAGCACAGTAAGAAAGAGGGTTGATGAAATATTAATAGCACGTTCTTTACGGAAACATATACAGTATGTAACAACGAAAACTTAATAGAGCCGTTTTTTAATATAAAAAGTAAGATTTTTAAAAAAAGTTTGGACACGTCGATTTCTAATTAAAGGGAGACACCTTTCAAACTAATCAGATTTTTTGGACGGACGCACCCCCTCGGAGGGGTACGTCCGACGATCCTTATTTGGATAGGGAAAGTAGGTCGAGTGGCACCTTGTTTCAAAGGTATTTCGAATACCTTTACATTAAAGGTACAATTTACGTTCAGAACTTTCATAAAAAAAAATAAATTTTTGCTTTTTATGACAACCTGCTAATACGTGTCCATTTGATTTCGTAAAAATGTAAGAATTATTTGTTTATTACGAGGAGATTTTTTCGGGGGATGGGGTTGGTTACCTCCCTTACATTTTAGGTAAATTGAGTGGCACCTCCTTATGAAGGATGCGTTTTGATGTGGATATTTTAATGCTTCTGATAAAAAAGTGAATCATACTAAAAACTTACCAACACAACGAATACAACCTGTTGATTTCCTTGAATGCTGATGACGACACAGAAAAGTTTAAAAAACTGTTTTAGATTTAATAAATCCAAATGATTATTTTTAAAGCACACACAAAAAATGTAACACCTAGTAAGGGTAACTCGCATAGGAAATTTAGAGTAAATGTTCAAAATGTGCGCCATTTTGATCCATGCAACAATAAAGATTTTGTTCGAATTTTGCTCTTACATTAATCAACATCTCAGGAGTTATAGCTCGGCATAATAGGGTGATGCACCGTCTTGTTGAAAATGGATGAATTCATCTTGACATCTTGGATCCTGTTCAATTATTTCAACTATACGAGGTTGTATCTTCTTCATGAAGTTGTAAATAAGAATCACCGGTTAAATTTCCATCAATGAAAAATTGACCTGTAATATGATTGCCTAATATTCCGGCCCAGACATTCAACTTTTGGGGATGTTGGGTATGTATTTCTGCGTATTGTCTTGGGTTTTCATCCGACCAATAACGGCAATTGTGACGGTTCACACTGATAAGAAGAACTGCTCGAATTTTTTTTTATTCAGGCATACAAGTTACCGATTGGTCTGTCTAATGTATTATCAACATGGCAATTTTAACTTCAAATTATCCCGAAAACTAATCGTTACAAAAATTTTCTTTTAACAGAGTTGTGAAGGTATTCGAAAGACCTTTGAAACAAGTTGCCATTCGACCTACTTTCCCTATCTAAATAAGGGTCGTCGGACGCACCCCTCTGTGGGGGTGCGTACTACAAAAAAATCTGTTTAGTCTGAAAGGTGTCCCCCTTCGATTGGACATCGACGTGTCCGAGATTTTTTTAAAAATCTCACTTTTCATATTAAAAAACGGCTCTGTTAAGTTTTCGTTGTTACACACTGTATACTCGTATATACAGAATACAGCGCGATGACCGTCGTTTATCCGTAATATGGAAATCGATAGCATTCATATCCGGAAAATTGACAAACATAAGTTTTTGATAAGCTTTATCTAATGAAAATAATGGCATTTCTCCAACAATTCCGTGTATATCGGAAGTTGATACCAACTTTCTTAATTCAAATATAACACCTTATATGTTTCCACATTTTCAAAAACCTGGACATTCTAATTCTGATGAGATTTCATGTGGTACTCCCTATTCCAAAAATGAGATTTTCATTCGTTAACTAAAGAAACGAATCACACGAATCTGGTGTGATTTCCCTATAACATTCAAAAGTTCGATAGAATTCATAAATTAGCCATTGCTGATTCATTGAAATAGTTCATCCTAACGTTTTGCGGAGTAATATTTATAAAATGTTATACAAGGTGTTCGAAATCGATGACTAATTTTAAAGATATGAAAATGGGACAGAACTCATTTTTTTCGAATGGAACACCCTGTATTTTAGGATACTTTTGAAATTTCGAAACGATTTTCTTTATTGAAAATCAACAGTTCACGAGATATTTAGTTTTCTCTTGAAAAATTCATGCATTACCATGAAACTTCGGGCTACGAAACCTCCATTTTGAGCAGTCCAGAAAGTTCATTACAATTAATTTGCCGTCATGGTTTCCCTCACAGACAGGATTTCAGATAAATGAGTAATGAATTAAAAAATGTTTGTTTCAAATATTTTTCAAAATAGCCAAGATAGCTCTAATATACTTTCTGTAACTGTTGGAAAAGTTTATTTGTCATCAAAATCGGTTGTTACGTTAATTGTTCAAACCATTGCAATAACTATATACTAAAAATATTAAATGGAAAATGATTACAAAGAAAAAAGCAGGTTGAACTTATATACACATCAACTATATATCACAACAGACACTAATGAGTAGCCAGCTCAGGAAAAGTGCTGCAAACAAATATGAATGATGGAATATTTAAAATGAAGAAGACTTCCAAAGAGCAACTTCGACTCAGAATATGACAATACGAACAGCATTTACATGTGAAGGTTGACAATGAGAACACAAAGTGATATGATATGTCACTCAGATGAGTACCAACAATAGTTCAGAAAGAAAATCTGTGTTTCGCGCTTTTGTGAAATTTGGAAAAAAATTCGTTCTTGCACTTCCAAAGAAAATTTACTATTTCCATTTCATTAATTTGTATTCATCGTTTCTTGAATATATGTTCAAAAACATGTTTTTCCGTTAACTAGCTGTCGCACCCCTATGAACGACAATCCTCCGAAGTCGAACCTTGTGCGAGCTTGTGCGGGGTCTCACCAACGTGTGATTCCTAGGACGGGTTGGACGATGGCAAGTGAAAATCGATCATACAGCCTGCGGCTTGAACCACCGACCAACACAGAGGCCGATTTTTGTCAAGAAATCTTTCTGAAAAAGAACTTCTCGCAGCGGTCAAAGCGGTAGATCACTACCACTACTCTTTATATGGCCGTTGATTGGATCAGACCACTCAGCATTTCAGTGGCTCTTCAACGTCAAAACCCTAGAAGGACAAATAGCCAGGTAGATCGGAAAGTTACAAGCTTACTATTTTGAAATTTAACATCGAAATGGAGAAAGTCACAGTAACGCAGGTCTCTCAAGAAGACCATGCTTGACATCTGGATGCAAATTTTGCCAAAGCCAGGAGGACAAGGATACTCAGTTAACAGAAGAAGAACTTCCAACCAGGCGTGATAAGGTAGCGAGCAGAGACTTCTTTATGGACAGCGCTGATAGGGGGATGCTCCCCTACCTTCCTCCGCTTCAGGTTCCCTCTGACCACGAGGGTAGAAATCTGAAATGGTCCCTTGTCCAGCGATACGGACAGAAAACCCGAGGAATCACCTTACCATGGTGTGGTACGATCATTATTTACTTCTGAGGAAGACACTACCTTCATGACGAGGCAAGAGATCATTGTATCTCAGAAGGAGGATCCGATCTTGAAAACTGGCAGAATAGCAAGAGATTTCCAGGCACAGCCAGCGGGAAAATGGATACAGGCTACAATATGACTTCATTTGTATTTGAGATGACCTACCCACTCGAAAATGGAAAAGCACGGATAAAAACCCCACAAATTCCAGATCATTCTTGTTAACACGTGTACCGGAATATACTTGAACAGCTTCACGATGACGGTACTGGGGAGCATTTCCGAGTGAGAAGAGCTCTAACAAGAGTGCGTGAGAAGTACCATTGGCCGTCGAGACGTGGAAGAGAGGTGTAAGCGCTGTGACCTGTGCTCTTCGAGAAAGGGTCCGAAGACAAGGCAACGAGAAAAGTCGAATCAGTGCCTTAGTAGGAACCCTTTTGAGAGAATCGCAGTTGAAATTCTGGGACCACTCCACATCCGGTAACCAGTACCTTATGGTTGTGATGGACTATTCCTCCAAATGGCCTGAAGTAGTAGCCTCACCCAATCAAGAGGCTGAAACAGTCGCAGAAGCCCTGTTGCAGAACGTAATTGCCAAACACGGAGTACCCCAAGAACACTCGGATCAGGACTGCAACTTCGAATCGAATTTAAGGAAGGAAATGATGACTTCGTTGGGAATGAAGAAGACAAGAACAACACCTCTTCACCCACAGTCCGTTGGAATGGTCGAGAGGCACAAGCGCACCATCAATAACTACTTCTAGGTTTTTGCCTCCAAAAACCAAAGAGACTGGGATAAATTGGTTCCTCTCTTTCTATTGGCATACAAGAGGTACCGACATGACGCGACAGGTTACACTCCATCCTTGTTGCAACAGGCCGAGAACTGAAGCTTCCCCTAGATGTATTGTGTGGTAGCCCATCCGATGATTCTCAAGAGGTACCTATTTCAGAGTATATGAATGACCTGATGGAGAGACTGGAAATTGTTCACAAATTTGCCAGATCCAAATTACAGCTTTCCAGCGACAGGATGAAGATAAGGTTTGTCAAAAAGTCGCTACCAATGAGCTTCAAGGAGGGCGATGCAGTGTGGCTCTATCAACCCCAACGTTGGAAAGGTTTGTGTCCCAAATTGCAGAGACCATGGCAAGGACCCTACCTGATAACCAAAAAGATAAACGATCTAGTGTACAGAATACAATTGTCATCCAGGTCCACATAAAGAGGCTGAGTCCTTACATGGGTCGAGAAGTCCCCTCTTTGAATGTGGCTAACAATCTCAGGAAAGGGGGTAGTGTTGTTAAGTATGCCCTCAATAAAATAACGCCAGCCGCCACTGGTAGACATAAACCAATTGTGACGTAGCTATGAGCGCACGAATGTTCGATGTTCACTGCCCTACGAGAATAATGCTACCGGCTTCGATGGAATTCCGAGGAATTTTCAGTGCCTTCGATTTTCAAATATAAGCGCCATCCACTCGCCCATCAAGACAATGGAAGTTACAGTGCCGTGCGTGAAGCGATCTAGTAAGTCGATAGACATTCTAGAATTTGATTATTGTTCATTGTAGTAAATTATTGGTCAACTCACGGGAAAAAACGAAACAAGATAATTATATTTATGAATTGAAACGGAAATATTTTTAGAAGAGATTATTCATTTTGAAAAATGTGGAAACTTTCCAAAAATGTTTTAAAAAGATGGTGAAGAAGGAAGCCAAAACCTTTTTTTCCAAAAATGGGATAAATATTATGGCATATGCTTGTATGAATCCAGATGTTTCTGTGCGAGTGTTAGAAAAAAAAATTGGGAGTGCTTTTTACCGTAGAAGCGACGCGCAGATATTGTCGATGTTAAAAGGTAATACCGGTAATCCCCAGACTTCAGAGAGTTGTCGTAGTGGGGCAGCAGCTGTTTAACGGAAAAAAATTTGACAGATTTTTCAACAGATATGTCATTTTGACAGTTGAAAGTGTTTGTTTTCCTGATTGATTTTGAATGTAGGAAATCACCCACAACATCTGTCGTTCATTTTTCAAACCCGAAACGTATTCTCAGCCTTCAAATCGAATTTCCACTTTCTATCTATCATTAGAATAAACTTTTACTTGCCTCCGGTATGGAACTTCTTCAGTGGATCCGCGATGGCAAAAAATCGATCTGCAGAAAGAGCGGTGAGGGTGAAAACAGATACGCCTGTGGATATATCTTTTGCCGTCTCAGATATCTTGCAGATCAGTCCGCCCCATGGCCAGGATTCCATGGTGTATACGATAGAGGTGAAAGGAACACTAGTGAGGAGAACCAAGAGATCAGCCAATGCCAATGAAAAAATGTAACTGAAAGGAATCAACAGTTATTTCATTTAAATGTGAAAAATTTTTCAGTACTAAAATTTTGCGTAATTTATTTCAGTAGCTTTTTAGAAACTTCTTTCATCGCATCCATAAGGTTTTGAAAAATATTTTAAGAAATTTTCGTAAGTTTCCTTCGAATTTGTGAAACTTCAATTATAATAATTTCATTTCAGCTACCATTCAAATCATGAGTTTTTGTCACAATGTAATAGTCTCATAAACTTTGATGAAAGTTCTGGGAAATTTTGATGAAATTTACCTATGAAAATTCATTACTCATTCAAGTACTTTTCCATTATGAGATTTTTCATTTGACAGTTTACAAAACACAACACTTGTTAGATACAATAAACAATAGCTTTTTAGGCGTTATCGCGTTATCATACAGAATACAATGTTTCCTTATCAGCGATGTATATGGTTAATATACAATAATATAAATCATATAACCTTCAACCAACCTGATGGCTAATAATTCAACCTGAGTTCAAGTATAAACAAATAAAAAAATTCAATATCGTGAAAGAAATTTCACCAACTCATTGAAAGGATATGTGATAAATAAGATATTTGAGAATGTCAGTATACGAAAACCGATTTAATCGAGGGGAAGAATTCCATTTCATTTGTTCATTCAGTAAATTTTCAGAATTCCTGAATCTCGTCATTTCAAAGCATCAGAAAAGAATGAGTTTCGTATTTTTTCATTGTAAATGTAATTTGTTATAGTCGTGGAGGATCTCAGACCCTCTACCAAAAGTGAAACTGGTCTTCACATTCACAAAAAACAATATGTTCTTTTTTTCTCAGAGAAGAAGTTTTCTCCGTTTTGCCAATATAATGTTCTGGTTGAGAGTCACAAGTCAACTGTAACCTCCTGATTTTCCTGACAGTGAGGTTTTGATTGTTTTCAATGAAGTTGTTCACATTACTATTTATTTTGTGAGCAACATCCAAGGCTTATTTTTCAACGACCGATGTCATTGGTGACTTCATCAAAGCATGTCAATGTCATATCTCTTGATCTTGAAATTTTCAGTCGGTTGATACTCAAACTGAGATTGAATTAATAGTCATTAGCTGGGTAGAACGTCATAGGATTCAAAGATATGTATTATATAGAGCAGCAATTAGGTAGAATAAGGAGAATGCCGTAAACCACCATATCGTCAAATTTTTGGAAGGCTTTAACGCCTTGAGCGATCACCAATATGGCTTTTGGAAAAATGTCGTATGTCACGCATATTTGGAATAAAGCAATCGAGAAACATGGAGAGTCAAGAGCTGTTGTGTTTGATATTTCTAAGGCATTTTGAATGTGGCATGAGAGGTTTGTTGGCTGAACTTCGATGCTGTGGCATGTTGGATCTGTTTTGTGTATGGCTCTTCAACTTCCCCTGCGAGTGGCTGTCGATGGATATCTCTCGATTACTTTCAGCATCAACGCTGGTGTTCCCCAGAGATCCATATTGTCTCAAACCCTCTTTTCAACGACTTATGGGAAGAATACAAGAATACAATATATTGCTTTGCTGACGACAGCATTATTGTCTCGTCATTCCATTTGGATTTCAGGACAAACTATATAAAGGCTAGATTAGATCTTCTTTGGAGTACTGTTCTCATGTATGGAATTCCGACCCTGAGCATTCCCTGAACTTCATTCATTGAGTACACAATCTATCGTTTGGATACGTCTATTTTCTCTAAATGTAAGTAAATTTCCTCCTAATTGTGAGTTAATAATGCATGTGTTTTATGTGGTACCCTGCTCTAGGCTGGTACCTCTTCAGGGGCTGCGTTGATTAAAAAAAAACAATAATTATTTTTATGTGCAGCTCAGTCTAGTTCTTGCTGCTGGGTGTTTATGTTTGGTTACAATGCTTTTATCCTGTGTTGCTCGGGTTAGTGGGTCTTCTCTCGTTCCTTGGGCATTGCTGTTCTTGTGTATGGGTTGAGTTATCCTTGGTGAAGTTGTTCGGGTACAGATGCAGGTGATTCGTTGGTTGATTCAGATTCTGGTGGGTCTCGGGGGACAGGTAGAACTATTCATTTCTAGTTTTCTCTGGCTGTGGGCTATTTTTTAGCTAATTTCCAGCGGGAACTCGTCAAGGATGTCCTGGAACCACTCCGGGATATCCTCCAGGGTTCCTAGGAACCTGGCTGGGGGGAAAAGGGTAGCTGTTTCCCTGGGATCTCCTTTGGGCCCCCGCGGGACATTCAGGGGATGGCCAACGTCTCCATTGCGGTGGTTTTTCTGCTTCTGATTGTTCTGGTGATGTATTTGCCTCGAAGTTCCCGAAATCTCAAATTTATAGGGGTTACCTTTATAGGGGTTAGTTTTATAGGGGTTACAAACTTGCAATGCAAAACGAAGAGAGATTTGTCTCTCTTTCATAGATACTTTCACAGTAGGTGATCAAATGACTTGACACATTTGATTTCACCAAGAGCGGTACATATCATAAATACGCGAAGGACTGTGGCTGCTTATTTTTCTGGGAGTTCAATCTAGTACACCTCAAACTTCACTGTTTGAAAACTCTTCCATTTGGAGAACTGCGTCAATATTATATGAACTTCTCAAGAACGTTTTTTCAAATAATTTAAATCTCCAGCGAATCAAATGCAACGTGAATCGCTACTTTCGCCCAGGCGAATTTTCCTATAGTGCTTGTGTTTCACCCTCAAAAAAAAATAGACAGTATGAACACGCCTAAGGAAGCTTTTGTATACTGAAACAATTGTGGCGGTTTTGTGAACTTTTCAGTGAAAATCCCACAATTAAGTTTTATTCGAATATATTTCTTGCAGATTTTGTAGATACCGAAAATTTCACATGAGAAATGTCGTCACTTCATTGGATTTCCCTTCAAAGTTGGTATTGTTTGGTGTGAAAATTTTGTAGAAGTGACAATATGTTTTGAAATATTCTATTTTCTTTTGATTTTTCCCGGCTAAACTGATAAATAGATATAAATATTGGTTTCGATGTTCATATCATATCACCTATTTCATTTGATTAAGAGAAAACGTGCTTAATATACTCACATATTGGGGACACTCCTCATAATTTTATGTCTCAGAAATATAAACACCAATGTACCATTTCCCATCACCCCTATTACGAATATCACAAAGAACAATACAGGAATAATGTAAGTTTCTGGGCGATCTTCATACGGCATAACAGATTCATTCAGCAATTGGAAGCTGTCGTTGATAATAGTTGTATTTTGGATATATTCCTGGATGGAAGTCGTCGAGCTCGAATTCATAATGACGTAGTTTCAACTGGCTTCAATTTGAATATCAGGTGAACCGTCTATCATCTTTGATAGTGAAAACAGTGTCCTGAAAAAGAAAATATTGCATAGTAAACAAAAAAGACCTCAAATATTGACTATAAAAATTGATGAGAAATCAAGTGAGGAACAAACGCCTCTCATATCGATAGTTTTCAGTCACTTATATTGAGATTTGGTAATACCTACTTCACCAATCGTCTCAAAACAATAGAATAGACACTCCGTCTCACGATTTGGCAGATATAAATAAACGCGTTACGAAGTTTTGGCGTTTATTTCCATTCAAACTACTCACTAAAAAAATACTGTGTGTCGAGAGAAATGTTCGAGGGTTTCATCACCAGGCAGGTAGGGGAGACCGGGTATGGTTGTCTCACGGGTTGGTTATCACAGCAGCCATATTGAAAAGCGAACGAAAAAGTTTATCGAACAAAATCGAAGGTCGCGAGAGCAGTTCCTCCATTCTAACGTCACTTCAGTTCACACTCATACTGTGTGAGGGAGATATGTACTTTTATTTTCGGATGGCGAAAGTAAATTTGTGTCGAGTCTCATATGAATACTATAATTTTCCGTAGATATGAGAAATCTTTGGTTCATGATATCACTATCCGTTTTTATGAATAGATATTGATTCAAAGTTATTTTAGGGGGTTATGTTTTGAAATGTGACAACCAACACCATATACATATAATTGTGCAGCATTTTTTGTTGGTTTTTTGAGCTTCTGGTACATACAATTTCGTTTGTTTTAGAGAAAATCATAGAAATGTCATGGCATTATATGAGAAAGTCTGATCAACTAGTATTTCACGCAGTGAATCTGCGTGCTGCGAGATAAGTGATTTTGAGATTATTTATTATCGCAGTCTGACACTGTTTTGTGAAAATACACTTTCCAATAGATGAGCAACACGTGTTATTCATACCATCAACAAAAATTGGTTAACAAAGGTATATGTAGATCTTTACCGACAAATAGAAGAAAGAATTAGAAAAATACATACTTACCTATATGGCTTCAAATATTTATTTCGGTTCGTCTACCGAGAATATCTAAAAACAGCGTTACATTTGCCATATTACATTTGCCGTAATAAGGAATGTTCCTTTTGACGAAAATCAAGTAGTTTTCATAAAAGAGCTCTAAAACACCGCATTTTAAACTTATCTTTTCAACCTTTTTCTATAAAAAAATATTTAAATACTTAAAAAAGAGGAATGAAATAATGCATTCAACAATTAAAGGGATTCGTTCCTATTTCACCATTTGGCAACATTGGTTATAGCTAATAAAGGACAATAAATCTATTACCTGTATGAGACAAACAAAGATGACATATTTCAGACGCGTGCTGTTCTGTTTACTTATGTTCCGAGTTCCGAGACATTCTGTTACATATGACATTTTGTGCTAACCTAACCTAACCTAGCTTCCTCTATATAAATAAATAACAAAACAACTGTTGTTTATGTGGCTCGTGGAGGTGATATTGAACTTTACTTTATATTTTGCCTTAATTGTTGATTTATAAAGATAATTTTACTTTTTTAGAGTAGAATATCTAAGTATGTATAAATTATTTCGAATTGAATTAGGCGCTATTGCCAATATGTGAATTAGAAACAAATCCCTTAAAAATTGAACCCAACATTTGAAATATCAATTTGAATACTTTTCGAAGAGAATTTGAAAAACTCATGAATTAAACTCAACTTTATTTTGTTCAAACTTTCATTTGCTGCAATAACCCAAATGGAGAAACATTCCCCATTGTGAATTCGAATATTCACTGAATTTTAGACTGACTAGATATAATTTTGCTAGGATGGGTATTTTTAGTTCACAAGGATTGCGGCCTGATCGAAGTGACTAGATGGAAGTTTTTTCATTTGAAGCAAATATGTTTTTTCTCCCGAATGAGACACTTTTTTCTCTTCTTGAATATAATTAATTACGTATATTATTCCACTTTCAATAGAAATATCTCTTTGAATGTTTTTATACCTCTCAATTACGTATGAGATTACCTGCTCCAGATACTGTGACAACCATCCCCGCCCCGGGGTTGAAAGTCACACTTTTTCTTTTCCATAAGAATTGTTATATTTCCTATATGCATTTTGTTGGAGAAAAAACTAATATTTCTTTGCAAAAGAGTATAAAAACACTATCTATTGATAAAAAAATATCACTGATAATTCATAAAAAAAGACACTAAAAATGCAAAAGACAAAAAATGTGACTTTCAACCCCGGTCTCCCCTACCACTGCTAAAAATAATTTTTTTTGGAACGTATTATTTTCATTACATAAAATATTCAGCAATTATTTTCGGTGAACCGAAAATGATTCAAAGAAGATGTACGTACAAAAGGTGTTTATGAATATGTTTATGAATGACCAGTTTATGAATAGTCCATTACTGTTGACAATACAGAACACGACATAGAATTAATGTAATTATAAATGTACGCTTCCAATTTCAATACGTTAGTGCTACAAAAGGTAGAATTGTATCAACAAAATAGGTTGATATCAATGAATTTCAAGGCAAAAAATCATGCAATACAACAATAGGTAATAAAATTCGAAATATTCTGCATTATCTGAGGAACTCAGTTCATAGAAGTGAATAATCCACAAAATATGAATTGAAAAATATTGAATTGTTCAAATTGTTCAACCCTTTCGTCTCTAAAAATTGAATCTTTGAATTTATAAATTGACCTATTTCAAGTGACGCAATGTTTTTTTTTAACTAGTTCAGACTTCCATTGTCTAATATGATTTGAAATCTCAGAAAGAACAAATAAAAGTGAAAATTTAAATTAATAGCTAGAAATAACAATTATATTGTGAAGAAACGCAAAAAATTAAAAATTGAACAATCAAAAATGAAAAACAAATTGAAAGTATTTCAAACCATACTACTTCAAGAGAAGCCGTCACAATCGGTGCTTGCCTTTACCAACGTCAGGTGATTGTCGAGAAGGATGGAAAGAATTGTGTCCAAGTTAAACATCAGAACCTGCTTCAGATCCGGAAACACCACCCGTTGCAGTCTCACGAAAATCAGGCCACAAAACGCGGACTGTAATTCCAAGAATTGCATTTTCCGGTTTCACGTATATCGACGAAACTAGGAGGTCATTGAAAATCCGCATTGACGAGCACAAGAGAAACACACAGCGACAAGAAACTAGCAAATCGTGAATATCAGAGCATGTTTGGATTCATCAACATAACATCAAGTGATCTCAAGCTGAGATCATCCACTGGGAGGAACACTGGTTTAAGAGGAAGTTCAACGAAGCTGGATATATGTTGTTGCATATTCATGACCTATTCCTCTTGGAGGAATAGTCCGGTCATTACCCGAAGACGACTGTAGATACTAACAATCGAAACGTCGTTAGGTAACTCGGTTTGAAATTTTTTAAATTTTTATTTGTTCAATTTTCAACGATTCATACCAATTTGATTTTATTGTATTTATTTCTCAATATGATCGTTATTTTTTGCTATTGATTTTAATTTTTGATTTAAATTATTTTTTCAGATATTTCTAGTCGTATTGTATCATATTAGACAATGGAAGTCCAAACAAGTAAAATTCACCATGAAACATTTAATTTTTTTGTGTTCTCAAGGCAGCACTGGATGTGTGTATAAAGATATTCATCAAAACTTGTATTTTTCAATACGTGAATGCCTTGCTTTTCCTGAATTTCTTTCAACTTCGAATCGCTCGAACTGAAAATATTACCAGAAAACTTGGGCTTGAACAAGAGCGAATGAATTGACGCATTAATCTCAGAAAACCATTCGAAATTACATTCAATAACTTACCCGCTGTATTGATCGAAATAATCACAAAGAACTCCCGTTTATTACTCCACCAACAGAAAAAAGTATGAACCCAGTTCTACTCGTCTTTCAATATATTCAGCAAAAGGAAATGCATCGAATTTAAAGCCTCCATTGAATTCAGGCTCCGAAAATTGAAGTTCGCATTATAATGAATACGGAAATCATTCACATCTGTATCTTTTCTTCTCCACATCGAATGGAAAATATAAATTCCAGGTACATTTTCAACTGTATTGGATTATACAATTTTCACACTGAAAATTTCACTCAAGACGCGCTTCATCAGTTTTTTTTTTCGTAATCAATAAGTTCATTCTCAGAATAATAATGAGTTTCTCAAAATAAAATACAATAATATAATAATTGTGCACTTTCATTCAGAGATATTTCGAATAAACAAGAATCCAGTAAGGCAGTGCCTGCCTGTGAATGGGTAATTTACTTATTCCAAACATTGACAATAATTAGTACACTTTAAAATTGGGTTCAGTTGCATTTTTATAGTAAAACCAATAATGATTGAGAGTAAAGCGCGTTGTCATATCTACGATAGATGATTGATTCTGGAGAAAAACATAAATTTTGAAAACAAAATTGTCATGTAATTGCGTTGTTTTCTTTTTTCAGCAACCAGCTGTTACCATTTTTGAGCTTGGATGCACTGCGTTGATGAGGCCAGCTGGTGTCCGCGTATTCTTATCTTTTTGACTTAGATAATTCATACTCTAAGGAAGGGTTTTCCCCTTTAGGGGTTCCCCAAGAAATTAGAAACAAACTCAAAACACCTCTCTCTGGTCGACCGTTTTGATGCGACGTATCACGATTCACGGGGCGCAGCGAAACTGATTCGCCATCCACCACAATATACTTTGTTCAATCAAACGGTTGGCATGCTTTGTTGAGCCGGCACAAATGGGCCGCCGCTCGAGACAAAGCTACCGCTGCCTTGCCGAAAAGCGGCGTTTGGCTACTCCAAAGAATCCGATGCAAATCATTTTGGTGACGTACCACACAATTCTATTATGCTGACACTGCCGATACCTACTTGTGAGCGCGCTGTCGTTTTTATAATAGCCCCCTCTGAGATTAGACGCTATATTTGTGAACTGGAGACTTTCGGCTCTAACTTCAAAACATGAAGTCGAGATTATTTGCACCGCAATTTTTTATATTTCTATTTCTTATTTTATCAGAGACGCCGACTCGGGTATTTTTAAGAATTTTCGAGATCGAGAATAGGACTATAAAAGCAACGATCGCGCCTCGACACTCAGTCACAAATGGTAAGAATAATTGGGTCTTTTTTAACTGACAGGCGAAGCCGCTGCAGAGTAGGATAAGAACTCCCAACCAGGCGATTACTGGAAGCAGGGGTCCCACAAGGTGCAATCCTTTCGCCACATCTCTTCTCGGTATAGACAGCAGACTTGCCCAAGCCGGAGAACAACTTTAACAAGTTGGCACTCTATGCGGACGACACAGCTCTGCTGGCGAAGTCAACAAGCCAAGCGCACGTCATTGGATACTTGCAGCAACAGGCAGATAGATTAGAGGAATGTGCCAACCTGTGGAAGATCAGTATAAACGCTGACATGAGTCAGGCAATACTGTTCACCCGGAGGATGGTACACCCGTAAGGAGACGTGACCTTCAACGGACAAGAAATTCCGTGTACCGACAAAGCTAGATACCTGGGAGTCAACCTAGACAAAATATTAACGTTCAGGTCTCACGTACGGCAGAGAAAGGAATGGCGAGATCCGCCCGACAAAACCTATTACCAATGAATAGGTCGAAGAACCAACATGGGATTGAAAGTGAAGCTACTGATGATAAAGACCGTAATATTACCGATAATTCTGTATACCTGCACAGCTTGGGGCCAGTGCGCAGCGATATACAGAAGACAGATCCAGTCGTTTATGAACGCGTGCGTTATCGCGAGATAACCAGCAAGATAGTCAGAAGACATGCTTGTGTTCACCGATGCCCATGAACACTATCGGAGAAAAAATTAAATATGTCTTTTTACGAAAATAATTCCGATTGAAACGATTGCATTGACATTTGTACACATGACATTTGTTCCAGTTATTGTATCCTGCATATACAGTGCTTTTCAGATAAAAGTATCCACCTTCAATAACTTTTGTAATACTGGTATTTAGGCAAAATCCAAAAACACGTCAATTTATGTTGGAAGGGGCAAGCATTATGGCTTATTTAAACTTACTGGAAAAGCATTGGGATTATTCTTTCAGCAATAGCATTCTTATAAGAAATGGATTGATCGATGTAACTTTCAGCTACTGTTGTAGACTGCCATCCTCGATGCTTCTAAATATCCGTTATTTCTGCCCCTGATTCTGCTAGCAAGGAAGCAAAAAACCTTCCGAAACAGTGTCCTGTATATTCCTTTGGTTTCAGGAGGTTCAGAAACTCAGCAATGGTAAAGGGCATTGTTCAAACGTAAAAGTTTTTGATTTTTTGGGCCTCTAACTTTCATTATTCCGCTTCAAGAATGCTGGTATCTTGAAATATTTCTCTTCTAGATAGGCTAAGAAGACGGCTAAGCTAACAAAATTAGAATATGCTGAACCGATGAACCGATTTTTTTGGTAACAACTCAATTGAAGCAATTCCTCACTATTGTTCTTCATTATGCAAGACATAATCATCAGCAAGAACTGTAAATGTGACTTTAAATAAAACGCGTGAGCTGCAAAGAATACTGTTTGTTGGTAACCAGGTGATTCGGCGACACCTGACACGGCCACTTCACAGCATATGCGATTTGTCACTCACAAAATAAAACCCTACGCACTCATATCATCAATAGCTGTTCTTAGTTGTTCTGTTGTAATTTCTGCACAAGCTGCAGATATTCTGATGCGTAGTTCTTCTACTGACAGCGGTCTGGAGTTGGACACTTTTGCAATTCAAATATTTCAACCCATCCGTTGATTTCCATAATTATTATTCAGCCATGCTATTACAATAACTCCATGATGTACCTACAGAAGACGCATCTTTAAATTCAGGCGATCCTGCACTGGTGAGTTATGTTATGCGTATGGAAAATACAAAAATTTTCAATTCATCAAAGGGTATTGATAGTATGTTTTATTTTTGAATAAATTAGTTTTGACTCCCTCCAGAAAAGTGGGCATTTTTGACTTATGTGCTTATTTCCCCTATACGCAGATGTATTGCGTCCCAAAACTCATTTCTAAAAAAATCTAAAAATATAATTCCATCCAGATTACTTTCGAAGAAAAACGGATCGATAATCTTATCATGGATCATTCAACAACATACATTCATTTCAGGGAAATATTCCTTTTTTGCGTTTAAAAACCAATTAGTATTATTCGCAGACCAGTACTTTGATTTTTAGGACGAGACTACTCCATTTGTAGTGAACGTAGCTTCATCACTGAACATAATTGTTTTGAATAAGTTTATACAATCATTCAAATATTATCCTTGAGCCCACAAAGAGAATTACAACCTTCTTTCTCCATCTCCCGCTTCCAGAGTGTGTAGAATTTTAGCTTGAATGGTTTAATTTTATTTTTCACGAGGCATCTGATATTTTCTCTAGAAATATTTAAGTTCAAACTAGCCGTTCGCAAGCTTGAATGATGATTATTAGAAATTATTGCAATATTCTAACATCATTTCTATTCTCACGGTGTGGATTGTTTCCGTTTTAGAGCATATGCCTAAATATACAACCTGTTTCGTTTAAAACAGAATTTATACGGTTCACCGTACTGCTTGCTGATCAGTGAAAGTTTATCAGGATGTCTGTTGTGAAATTCTCTGGCAGCTTCTCTTGCCGAATAAGCATTATCTCCGACAAGGCGCACAAGTTCAATTTTATCTCGTACACTCAGTTCTCTCATGAAAAATCACTCATTCCTACCGCATCATAAAAATTCACAGCATAATATATGCTGAAAGTTTTGGTACTATTGATGAAGATTTCGAAAATATTTCGATTGGAACAGCAAACAATATTTTCCTATAACAATTTCTTGGTAGAATGTACAAAGTGGCATTGTTATTGATGCTCACTTACCTATCGAAACAGATGAACAAACAGTTACGTTCCTCTCACAACTCACCTACTCGTTGAACTGGATCAAATGAGCCTGATCGTCTATCTACGAATCGCACCAGTTTAACATCACAAACAAATTGCAGAAAGGCAAAAGAACATCGCCGTCTACTTTGGTCAATATTTAGCAGCCCAATTAGCAAATACTACCGGGATAAAGTCAACATAGTAAAATTAGTGTGTATACACTAACAAATTCAATTCAATTTGCTCAGCCTTCTATAATGTAATCAAACCATATCAACTGAAAGCGTTTAATACAAAGCATCTCAGCACACAAATGTTTTATTGCGCTCTTTACAAAAGGATCTGAATTGGTTTATTGATGACATCTATTGAGAAATACCGTTGGATTTGTTTATAGTTTAATTTTCCAATTGCAACTTCTTTCGATTTGAGAGGATTCTCCAATCTGGAAGATCAATAATGAGATTAAATTTTTTACTTTCCACTTCCTAAGTAATATCTTATTTAATGTTATTTACCATTGCTGGTCCCATACACTACACATTTTTGGGAAATGGGAAAGGTTTTAGCTGTCTACTTCTCCATGTGAAGATATTAGATTCAATTCAATAACGAATGTTCGGAGTAAAAACTACATAGAAAAAATATTTTTATATAATTAAATTTTTATATATAAGTAGTAGTAGTTTTTTTTGGGAATTCAATATTTATATGAAACAGCTGCTTTCCCCTCTCTTTGGAAGTTTCCTACATTTTCTATAAACAAACG